TTTTATCTAGACTTCAGTGTTTTAATGCTTTAACTTAAAATATAAGTGTCAGTTTAATCTAGAGTTCAGTGTTTTATTAATGCTTTAACTTAAAATATAAGTGTCTTAGTTTAATCTAGAGTTCAGTGTTTTATTAATGCTTTAACTTAAAATATAAGTGTCTTAGTTTAATCTAGAGTTCAGCTTGTATTTTAAGTTAAAGCATTAAAACACTGAAGTCTAGATTAAATTAAGACACTTATATTTTAAGTTAAAGCATTAATAAAACACTGAACTCTAGATAAAACTAAGACACTTATATTTTAAGTTAAAGCATTAATAAAACACTGAAGTCTAGATTAAACAGACATTTATATTTTAAGTTTAAGCATTAATAAAACACTGAAGTCTAGAGTAAACAGACATTTATATTTTAAGTTAAAGCATTAATAAAACACTGAAGTCTAGAGTAAACAGACACTTATATTTTAAGTTAAAGCATTAATAAAACACTGAACTCTAGATTAAACTAAGGCACTTATATTTTAAGTTAAAGCATTAATAAAACACTGAACTCTGGATTAAACTAAGACACTTATATTTTAAGTTAAAGCATTAATAAAACACTGTACTCTAGATTAAACTAAGACACTTATATTTTAAGTTAAAGCATTAATAAAACACTGAAGTCTAGATTAAACAGACACTTATATTTTAAGTTAAAGCATTAATAAAACACTGAAATCTAGAAAAAACTAAGACACTTATATTTTAAGTTAAAGCATTAATAAAACACTGAAGTCTAGATTAAACTAAGACACTTATATTTTAAGTTAAAGCATTAATAAAACACTGAAGTCTAGATTAAATTAAGACACTTATGTTTTAAGGTAAAGCATTAATAAAACACTGAAGTCTAGATTAAACTAAGACACTTATATTCTACCTGACATCTCACCCACACAGCAGACAGGTGTGGACCAGATCTGCCAATGATGGCAGTTTTTAAGATGGCATGCCACCACTGGCCCAACTGGGGTTTGGTTCATGTGGTTCTGGCCCATGCATGGACCATCTCTGGCAAACTTCACCCGAGCCCAGTGTGAGCCAGAAATGGACCAGACAAATGTTGTTCTGTGTCACGCACCTGCACTAAAAAAAGAGTCCAGGATGTTAACCTAATAAAATATACTTTATTTATTTTAGATTATCATTTGACACATTGTCCTGTGGTCAAACACAGGTTGTTATCTTACTTGAGTCAAAGTACTGTCAAATTATTACTGAAGTTAAAGTACTGGAGTTTATGCTTTCAAAGATACTTGAGTTCAGAAAGAACTTGAATTTTGAAGTTTTTTAACGATGCACTTCACTCGAGTGTTGTTGAGAATAACTGGGACATTTCCTGCTTTACTGAACAGATCAGTAACTCCAAATATATAATATTAAACATTAGTCGTATATAGGAGACTGGTAGAAGATGAGATTTTTAAATAAAAAGGATTTATTAAACAAATGAAACAAAAGAGCTGTCAGGGCAACTAAAACCAAACTGAAACTCCAAAAAGACACGAGGGCAACGAGACAGTAGGACAGTTCCATGGAATGATCCAGCAGGGAAATGAAGGACAAGACCAGAGGAGAGAGGAAATGATGAACACCTGGGAGGAGGACTGATTACAGACAGGTGAGGATGATAAACTGAGAATTATCTAGAAACAAGCTGAGGAGAAATGATGAGCAATGGTGCAGTGAAGACACAAGGGGGCGGTAGACACAAAACAACAAAACACACATCCTCACAAGTCTCCACTTCAGACAAGACTTGGAACGTTTGAATGAACCCAGTAATAAGTGGCTCATTTAAGAGCTCTAAATCTAATCTGAGCTTTTTAGTTGTTATATTTGTACAAGTTCACTGAAATGAACAAAATATTTGTTACAATAAACACAACACTTTTATTCAAAACAATTGAACAAAGTTTATTTGGTATAAATTGAATATTAAAACAAAGAGACTAAAAGTCTAAAATGTTCTAAATTCTTTTTTTTTGTTCTAAAGTCTTAAATGAGATGAGTTCATGTTAAAAACGGGACTAAAATCAGGATCTATCCACCCTAAAGCACTAACTCAAACATTTAGATCCCCTAATTCTAAAGCACTAAAATAACCTTTCAACCCCTGAACATTGTTCAGAGTCCACATGAGACAGGTTATTATTATAATACTGTGACAGTATTATATTATACCATAATACTGTCACAGTATTATATTATAATATAATACTGTGACAGTATTATATTATAATATAATACTGACAGTATTATATTATAATATAATACTGACAGTATTTACTGTGTGCAGAATATTGTCAACAATCAATGAACAAAATGACAGTTTTCACCCTCAAATGTTAACATTAACGTTGATCAATAACATTTATAGACCTCAGTTAAAGTGCTTTTAAATTAAGCCTATAAATTTAGCAAGTGCAAATCCACTAATGATTTTTAAAAACAGCAAAAGCCCTAAAACACTAATCAGGGAACTAGTTCCCATATTAGTACATTAGTGCTTTAGGGGAACTGTTCCCACCACTGATTCAATGAAACTACAAACTGTAAACCATGGAACTGAGAAAACGCTAGAAAATATTGACATGAGTTTGATTTATTGTCGTCTTTTATGGTTTTTCTGAGCTGGGGTCATGGGGGCGGAGCCAATGGCAGGTGGGTTGTAGGTGATGAGTTTGAAAAGAGGCCTGAGGCGGAGGCTAATCTGCTGTATTACAGGTAGTAAAACATCTTCAGTGTTGTTTGTGTGCCTGCAGGCCAGTTTCAGCACGCTGACTTCAGCCTGATCACAGTGAAGGATGATCTGCAGGGAGCTCACCCACCCAACAAACAGGTGATAGCACGGGGGATCCTGAGGTGGAGCTCGCAGCAGATGGCTGTAACCCTGCAGGAGAAGACGCTGAAAGACTCTGTGCAGAAACGGCACCAGGCCAAATGTTGGCTGGTGCCCAAGGCAGAGGTTCAGACACTTCTGGGTCACTCGTATGAAAGCTACGTGGTGAACCAGGTGTAACGTGAGCTGAACCTGCTCAGCTTCATTGTGTTTATGAAAGGATGAAGGACACAAAGCCACAGACCTGTCCCACATTCTGTTAGAAACAAGGAAGTGTTTGAGTTGGGGCGTGGCAGGTCACAGGCTGCAGGAAAACAACAAGTTGGACAGAAATGAAGATTAACAATGTGAAGGACTGAACTTTCTGTTTGTCTAACATCAGCTCAAACAGAACATCATGATGCAACGTTCTGCTGACATGGCAACTACAAACTGATGGTTTAGTGTTGGAGCTGAGACATGTTATTCAATAAACTGATATTTTTCTTTAAAGCCATGTTCCTCCTCAGAATCATACAGTTATTATCATTTTATCAGTTGTTCAAATGTCTATAAAACAATGTATTCATGTGACGATCCACTTAGTTTTCTTCCAAACAAACACAGAAGTCAGTTTTCCAGGTTTGTCATGTGCTTCTTTATTTTTCTATCATTTCATTCAGTTTAATTCATTTTATTTGTTACACAAGACGTTAGGCATCGTTCACATACTAGTGATCAAACAAAGACAGTTCAGTTTTCTACTACTCAGCCTGGACTGGTTCTTTCATCACTTTCAGGGATGTAGTGGTTTATAAAGGCCATCCTGGATGAGAAGTCAAACAGTACAGCACACAGCAGGCTTTAGTTCTCAGTAAATCAAAGAGGAGAGGATGAACCAGATGTGTTATCTGTGGTGTGAGTCGAGGGTGAACAATGTTCCAGTTTTCATCAGATACAGTCAGATGTTTCACACAAAGTTCAACAACTGCTGCTGTTCTCCTTCCATCACCGCCTCTGTCTGCAGAAGCAACTTTAAACCCTGGATCAGCACTAAATAACATGACACAGCAAAAAGACTAAAGAAAAACAAATCATTTTGATGTGCATCCATTTTAAAACCAGTTTCTTCTTTTGAAAATAAAGGCTTAGAACCAACATCAGCATTTCACTGTGAAATCAGTAAGAGAGGGTAAAGAAAAGACACACCTGAACATGCCTGAAGTTTGTTTCCAGTTGGTGGGAGGAGTCCTGTCTGCAGCTACACTCAGGTGGACAATAAGAGCCCAGATCTGTTCGAGTTAACCCTAACCTGCTCTCAGCAGCTGCTCCTAACATCGGACCCCAAACTAAGGCTACGACCAGAGAAGACCCCCGGTTCATTGTAAAAGGGCAGCACTCGTAGCTTGGCTTGTCCAGTCTGTCCTTCCTGCGGCAAACAGGAAGTGGGTCTGTGTGGTAACAACACACGTCAACAACAAACACAAGGTTCAAACAACCAGGAAGTAATGAGGTGCTTTCACTATGAGCCAAAACTTCAGTCTTCTTGCTTTATTATCAAAATGTCCACACTGCGCCCCGACATGCAGCCCTGCCACCGTGCCACACTTTCAACCATCTCTCCTTGTTTTCTCTTCTTTCATCCTCCAGTTCCACAGCTCCACAGCCCCCCGGTCCAACACTGCCCACAGTTTAAACCCACTGGCCTGTAAACTTCATAACTTCAGCCAGTGAAACCTGCACCACTACACAAATAAAACTCTTCAATAATTTAACAAGTTAGAAAGTCAAACTTGACGTGACACAGCAGAGATCAAGAAAACAAACTGCTTCTTTTTTTTGTATTTTTGATTTTGTTGGTGTTGGGGGGG